ACATAGACACAAAGACTTATGATGGGATCTTGATTAGCTTCAGTCTAGGCGAATAATTATATAGCCATACTTGTGAAATACTTTTTGTAAGAGGCAATACTAAGCTCAAATCGTATGTTAGCTATATGGATGCCTGTCTTGTCATCTGGAGGCCTGGTAAGGAAAGTTTATATCGTTTCTTGCTTTTACATAGCCAACATGAAAGGAGCATTAGGCTCAAATTGGAAATAGAAGATAATAAGTCTTTAACTTTTTTGGATGTTATGATTATGAGAGAATACTGTACGCTAGAAAGTAATGGTTATAAGAATCAATAATGTTGAATGTTACCTTAAATTTCCTTCCAACTACAGTTAAAAAAACTAAGGTTGGAATTTTGAAGGCATTGCTTATTAGTAGTATGAGACTATCTGATATTAACCATTTGACAAAAAAGTTGAAACGGCTGAAACATTTATTCTTGGAAAATAATTGTCCCTTGGGCTTATTTGATAATATTATCTTAATAATGAAGAATTAATTTTCAGACGAAGAGTATTTAATCAAAGATAGACAAATGATGACTTTTTCTCTGGTACTAATTTTGCCATTATGCTTTCTTTCTTAGAAGATGGACAAGGTGGTGAGAAAGTGGCGGATAGAAACAGTGTTCAAATAAACTGACATTTTCTTCAGTTGTACCCTCTTTTGGAGAGAAATATGACCCATTATAGAGATCCGGCTGCTTCGAGCTTGTGTGTTCATTTGGGCAACCTTATGTTGGTGACACATGTCTTCCTATTCGCTAAAGATTGGAAAGACACAAAAATTATGATAAGAGCAGCTGGGTCAAACGGTCAGGAGAGATCGAACACAGTCCGGAGACTGGACACATGATAGCATGGTCTCAACCTTGTGGGTTTGTTTTTATGGTACGTCTGCAATTAAAAGCAACATAAGAGAGGCTATTTAAACTTAAGAGATTAATAAATATGATGAATGTATGGAATAATGTTAGGAACTTGAGTAGGAACTAATTGTTTTAGAGATTAAAGGAGACGGGGTTGAGCCGCTATCGAAAAGAAGGTGACTCAATTTATTAACAGAATGATGGCTCTAAATTTACTCACAATTGTCCAGAATGTAGATTAGGCTCATCAGCCAAACCAGACGCAATACCAGTCATGCATTTACTTGGTTTGTTTATCCCTCAACAACCCTAGACTAAAGGGTTATAACAGGTGGTTTCGTATCCAGATTTACATTTTTACAGGCCTAAGTATCATTATCTAAATAAGAGTAGCTTATGGCCAGCCTTGCTCAGAGTTTTTTCTTGAATCATTAATCCTTGATTACCCAATCATGACATTAGGTTCAATTAATTATTCTGATTTAGGACCGGTATTGCGTATAGACGCTAGCACACGCAAGCACACATGCGCACATACTATGACCACTATGAAAGCTAACTAGACAAATCATCCTATAACCTTCGTATGTAAGGAGAGTTTCGAAACTACCAGTAAATCAGTAATATGGGATGTATTCGCCTTATTTAGCTTAAGGTGATAAAGGACTGGTATTAAAATTTACCCGCAATGATATGAGTAGAGCTGACTTTTCCATTAAATTCAACAATATGGCCGAGTTATTAACGTGTCAAGCTCACATGCTGCACTGTCACGGTTCGACTCTCTCTAGGGTTGTTGATAGTCCTCTTCGCCCTGGACGAGAACAACTTTTGAGAAAGCAGGGCTATGTGAAATTTAATGAAAACGTTAGATCTACTACAAGTGTTGTGGGAAATTTCAACTACCAATCCTTCCTCACCTTAAACGAAAAGGGTGAATACATTTCGCTTTTAGTGAATAGCAAGAAAGTGCCGGACAGTCTTCTTGCCCAAGTGTCAACTTAACACTTTTACAAGAATGAGTTCCAGCTATGATGGTGTTTGTCATTTAATGGACCAAAGCATATCCCGTTTTCACCCGAGACGAGGGAGGATACCTAATGGACGGCGTCAACCTGAATGTCGTAGTAAAGCCAAACGGCTACAGAACAAGAGGAGCCAGTCGTCGTCTTCTGATCAGATCGACCTACGAATCTCTTCATTATGCACTTTTATATGAAATAAAAGTTTCCACAATAAATGAAATGGCTGGCAAAGTAGGCTTTTCCATGGTCCCAACACTTGGTGGGAACTTTCTTCGTGATAGGTAATTGTGCATTTGCTGCAAAACTTTATAAGTGAAATTAGTAATCCTAGGTTGATTAAGGCGATTCAGACGCTCTCAGTCGACTTTTCTCCTAACGACCAAAACGAGTAGGCCTTGCATTTTCAGTTAATTTCACTTATCCTTGTCCCCCAAAATGTTTTATAATACCACTTTAACTCATCAGCATCTTCTACTTCGCCGGCTTTACCAGCACTCCCAAAGGATACTATTCCAATACACAGCCATGCGTGCCCGTGTTCTTTACTTGGAAGATTGGATGAGATGATCATCTATTTGCCATGTAATCGACGATGCTATTTACTTCTGGTTGAGTATGTTTTGAATCAATCAGTAATTATTTGAAAATAACTTGGTCAACCTTGGTCGCCTTAGGCTTAGAAACATACTCTTATCGAAAAGATTGAATCTCAATCTCTCCTGCCCTAATACAAAATAAAATATTTGTTTTTCTAGACCTCATTGTGTTTTCAGTTCATCGAAAACAGATTCGCCGTCTCTCTGATGAGAAACCATTCATAACTCGTGCCCTTCGAAAATCATCAAGCCACTGATACACGCAGAAGAGACCACTACCAATCTGAGAGCATGTACGCAAATAATGCCCATTAAATTAGAACTGATTTACTTGAAGTAACTTTGGCAGAAAATGGTCATTCTAGAATGTCAAATTGCTGCATTTAATTGTTAGGTCGAATTGTACCCAACTTTCAGGCATGCCTCCCTCAGTTTGACAGGCCCTAATGCCACCAAATCTGCCAAAGACCACTCTTCCTCTTTCGTCAACTTCAACACGTTTTATTGATTCTCTTGTAGCCGTGGCCACGACCGAAATCGGCGTAGTAACTGAGCTAATGTCAGGCCTGCCATCAGGGCTTTGCTTCGATGCGTGAAGGACGGAAAGCATGAACTGGGTGTCAGTGTCATCATTTGAAATAATATGAGCATGACTCACATGAATCAAATCCCGGCTACATACAGAATACTCGGTGAGCTCCTCAAAGCCCTTTTTCTTCAGACAGGGAGTGCCGGTCTCAAGGGTCGTAAGGCCGTAAATAGGCCCCTCTCGCATGCTTCAGCTGACCATAAGTTTCGCCATTTATCCGCCTATTTGGCATGAGATCAGTTTGTGTCTGAAATTATATTATTTTCTTGCTAAATGGCGAGACTAAGAGCTCTCGTCAGACTTGGTTATTTTAGCTAACGGAGTTCTGATAGTACATTTTATCACACATCCAGATGAGTGTGCCTCGCTTGACCAGCCAGGAGGGATTGGACTGGAGTTACCACTTTGTCTCAGTCTCATTACCGCCCCCAGTTGGAGGCGAAGCATGGTTGTTGTAGTGCAGCCTATAATGTCAACATGTTTCCGCTAAAGCTCTTATTCTAGATCTACTTACGCTCTCAAAATCCTAAATACTTCGTAGGAAAAGAATGTTTTCGATTGTATTGACGATCCCATTGTCCGAACTGTCATATGAGAGAAGTTTAGCATACCATGAAATGATCTCTTGCTCTGTGAATGACTTTCATTCGTGTCATTCTGGCTTAACGGTAATGAGCTGAAAGTACAGGCTGCACTACCACAACCCGATTTCGATTATCACTGGGAGTGTTGATGATACAAATTCCGGCCAAGTCGAAACTCTACTTCAGTACGGCCGGGATGGGAATACTTTTTGGCAAGTAATGCCGCGTGAAATTCTATGGACGCGTAAGCCATTGTAGGAAAATTGAATGATCTTAAATGAAATAGACTGAATACATCTGGTACTTATGTACGGAATATGTGAATTGAATGTGAAGTAGATGTTTGAAAGAAATTAGAGTCGCAGGTGATGCCAGTGTAACACACAAGTTGGGAAGCTGGGACGACCAGCAAATTAGTAGAAAACAGCCGAGAGCAACCAAGTAGTTCTAATAAAGATATCGCTTTTGGGGATAAGATTAAGTTGGGTTTCACTTGTCTAAAGGTGCATACGTAAGTTCAGGTCTTTATTTGCGTGGGATACTTCTCATGCAGCAGTACATTTATAGGCTTAGCTCAGATATTCTCAATCCTGTCTGCCATGTCGGACGAACATTCTAAACTAGCAAATTTTGAGAGCAGAGACTGTAGAGCAAGTGGAATGGGATTCTAGGCCCAGTCGATTAGGAATTAAAGTTGAAGGTATGAACTTGGTTGACTGGCATCAACCGATCTTGCTGCCAGGCTCCTTGCGACGAGACTCAAAGAAAGATCCCAGACTTCCACCGTGTCGCCTGAGTCAGAGTTGCTTTTAAAAAAATAGCACATTGTCGCGGTTCGACTTCCGCAGAGGGTGTTGATAAGGCCGATGCGAGGTCGAAACTGCAGTCCAATAGTCTCTGGATGAAAACAACTTTTGGGAAAGCAAGCCACTGTGAATTGAAGATGTGAAGACCAAGATGCTGTGGCCTCGGGTATGGTCGCAGTCTCCTTTCGATTTACAGAAGTGGGTTGACCTCGTCGCAACTTGGTCTTGTTTTCAGGGAGACTATGTAGAACGCACCGAGTCCGAAGTCGTCTG